AAATAAGAAACTAAAGGAAAGTGTATGTAAAGTGGACATTTATCATCTTGTACTCCACCGCCACTAGAACCCCCTTCTTGTTCCATTTCTGTAAAATACAATAGCAATAACAATAAATTAAAAAATTAATAATAGTAAAGCAATAACTAAAAGCATACAACAGTAAAACAGTAAACAGTCCTAATCAACATTCAAATAAACATACAACAGTTAAACAAGCCTAGTTAAAACAGTAAACAAAATAACTATCCTAGTTAAACAAGCCTAGTTAAAACAGTAAGAAGAATGATCACCCTAATTAATACCCAACAGTAAGGTAGTAAAAAAATCATCACACTAATTAACACCCAACAGTAAGACAGTAAACAAAAACTACTATACTAACTAACACCCAACAGTAAATGGAAATTACTGGTCTGAAGTAACACTCAACAGTAACAAAGCAAACAGAAATTAATAATTCTAAAATAGCAGACTGTCGTGGTGGGGGGCAGCTGAGTAACAAAGCAAACTAAAAAAATAATTTTAAAACAGCAATTTGCGGTGGTGTGTGTGATTTTTGAGAGAAAGAGAGAACAGTGATATGTCGCTGTGTCGTTGTCGGGTGAGTGGGAAGGTCGTGGGGGGTTCTCGCGTGAAGTGCAAAGTTCCTGGGGTTTTGTGTGATGAGAGAGAGAGAGAGAAAGATACAAGAGAGGGCCAGGAAAGGAGTGTTTTCTGCGAAGCGGCAAGTTCTTGGGTTTTTGTGCGGTGAGGGAGAGAGAAAGAGATAAAAGAGGGAGTGGGGTTTTGTGTGATGAGAGAGAGAGAGAAAGATACAAGAGAGGGCCAGGAAAGGAGTGTTTTCTGTGAAGCGGCAAGTTCTTGGATTTTTGTGCGGTGAGGGAGAGAGAAAGAGATAAAAGAGGGAGTGGGGTTTTGTGTGATGAGAGAGAGAGAGAAAGATACAAGAGAGGGCCAGGAAAGGAGTGTTTTCTGCGAAGCGGCAAGTTCTAGGGTTTTTGTGCGGTGGGGGAGAGAGAAAGAGATAAAAGAGGGAGAGAACGAGAAAATCAGAGAGCAAAAGAG